TGTCCATCATGAGTTTACATAATAAAGTAATAATTGTATTATCAATTTTACAAATCCTCAACATTTTTAGAAGCCACAAGTGGAACACAGAATCAAATGCCTGTTGGTAATCCACATAAGCAACTGATATTAAACCTTCCACACTAACTGTCCTTCCGCAGCCCTCCATCACCATAACATACAAAGGAGCTCTATAGGACCAGTGCCAAGGCCACTCATCCATCCCATGCTGTAGCCTATCTTGCACTTCCTCCTCATACTCAGATTACCTTTAAAAGCTTTCACTACACTGTGGGAAAATACAAACGAAGCAGGCTGATAGAAAGCATGAAAGAATTCTCCAAAATGTAAATGAACAATCTGATACAGTAGATAAGCCAAGTTGTGGGATCGGAAGGATGGGGAAGAGGAATAACTGTAGTGTGATTAATTACCTCATGCTTTCATTTTGCCCTGCTGATTGACTCACAGCCAGAGGCTCCTTGCATTCTTCTTTCCAAAAAATGTTAACCCTTCAGGCAGTTAGTGAAACATCTGGGGTTTCTGTCCACTATTTTTACTAAATTTAGATGCATATATTGACAATTCTCAAGTAGACACCATATTCCAGTCTGACACAATAGAAGTCATGTTTCTCGTTAGAATGCTCTGTGACATGTTTTAAAGGACTGCTACTAAAGCATGGGGAGGGGGGAGAGAAGACAAAGATACTAATCTTTGCATTTTTGTGAATGGACTTTGTTATGTTCCAACAAAAGCATGCTGTCTTCCCTGCAGGACACTTTTGCAAAAAAATAAAATAAAAATACACCCTATTTACTAATATGAAATGTGTGTTACATGCTGTGCCACCAAGTCACTTCCAACTCAGAGCAATCCTAATACAATTTGAAGAGCCAATGTCATGCAACGGATATGGGTGTTGGACTAGGACACTGCAGACCCCCCCCCCAATTTTGCCACAGAAATTCACAGGGATGTGGCAATAGTAAGAGCACGCCTTAAATATCTTACATCTCTCAAAAACTCTACTACCACCACAAGTTGGAACTGACGTTACAGCACATCACTTAGTCATTATAGGGTCTGTAGGAATACAAGATATAAGACATGGAAAGGCAGCAATGGAGGAATTGAAAAATATGTAAGAATATGTCACTGGAGACCAAGACTATCCACGTTCTGGTATTCCCAACCACCAGTGTGAAAGCTGGACAGGATAGAAGGCTGGTAAGAAAATAGTCGATTCACTTGAAACATGGTGCTAGAAGAGAGCTTTGCAGATACCCTGGACTGCCAGAAAAAATAAATAAGTGGGTCCAAGATCAAATCAAGCCTAAAATATCTCTGGAGGCAAAAATGTTGAAGCTAAGGCCATCCTACTCTGGGCACATCATGAGAAAGCAGGATTCCCTGGGGAAAAAGACAAAAATACTAGTAAAGGTAGAAGGCAGCAGGAAACCAAGATGGGTTGACTCCCTAGGTGAAGCCACAGGCTTGGATTTTGAAGATCGCTCATTCATAGGATTGTCATATGTTGGTGATGATTTAACGGCACATCATAACAACAAAAAGATATACAAGGAGTGATGGGGAGGGCTATGAGTTTCCATGGATGAATAAAGATTTGATTTGATTCTGCACCACACTGACAGTTTCAGATTACTGGGGAGAGGCAAACTTCCAAAAGTATATGGGGTACTTTTATCACATATGCACCCATCTCATTCACAGAACTTTACTCAAGGCAAAGAGATCCAGTCATTATCCGTTTCCACTGCACATTACAGGCAGAGTGTTCATCAACACACTTGGTGCACAATTGACCTTCTTTACAGCATCTTTAACCATGCCACTCATCTTATTAAAGCTAGCATTCTTCTAACCTAATATGCATGAGTAAATAACTTGTAAATATAAATAATGTAGGGAGTAAGAAACCCCCTCCCCTGACTGTTCTTGTACATACTGGACTTCGACATCTTTTTACTATGTGAACAACATAGCTTCTTTTGAAAAGAGAAAAAGAAATAAGCTTTACAAGAGATTATGAAACCGCTGGTGTTCTCTGCCTAAGTGAAGAGTCCCATTATTTTTAAAAAATTTCAGGAGTTTTAAACATAGGATCTTCCATCAGGTCATCTGCTCAGCAGTTTCTTCAGTCAGACTCTGGGTTCTTTTCAAGGAGAAAGGCAAGGTAAAAACAAACAAACAAACAAAATGGAGGCCTGTAAAATTGGTGGAATTTAGAGGTGGAACGATGAGTTGCATTTACAGAGTTGCATTTCTATGGGCTCAAACATCCAGGTTGTAGGTCTTGCTGCTTTGCACTCTAACAATGACTGCATGGGGGCTGCATCTTCCCTTTAACAAATGGAAAGTGATTCCTAAGGAGGATCTAATTCAGCAAGCCAGAAATTTTCTTTCCTCTATAAGAACTTGTAACAGGATCAGAGAAAACTATGGGCAGTGTGAGGTAGCAATCATTAAAAAAGACACAATGATGAATTATTCAAATAGTGTTTTGTTATGCAGATAACGGCATAAAACACAGCATCTATTTACAAGTGACAGCTTTACTGGCAGAGCCCAATTGTCAGGGCATGAGATGAGACAGGATAACTCCCTTTGATTTCCAACATGCTAACAAACTAGTGGGGAAAAAATAAAAGGCGTACACTTTTCAATCACATCACTTAGGAAAGGGGACGGGAGGGATTTACAAGTTTAACATCCATTACATCCATAGTCTTCAACAAGAGGAAACAAGTAAGGACTTTTAATGGGCATAGATCTTCCTCAACAAAGATAAGAAGCATAAGGTTTCCTACAAGCCTGCAGCGTTAAAAAGATGCTTTAATTTGAGCACCTGAAAATAAAGTTGGTTGAATCCATGTGGCAAGAAGGTGACAAATCAGCAGCTGCTTTTCATTCAGCTGGGGGGGTGTTCTTGAAATAGTTTCTATTCCCCAGAAAGATACAGCACAGGGAGCAATTAGAGAGGCTTGTAAAGGCAAGTATATAAAAATGGTCTACATGGATTTGGTTTGATAGACAAGCTTGTTCAGTTTATATGGGCTGGCATCCATATGTACCTTTTTTTTTCAGCTCAACTGTTCCTAATTAAAACCCTCAGATACTGCAACACAGGGGCCCATGTGAATACTTACACAGTTCCAATACATGACTGTCCAAACAGAGCTGCTATTATCATACCAAGTAGAGCAGCTAGAGAAAATGGTTTTTTTGTATACATTGGTATGTACTTTAGGTAAAAAGCACTATTTGCAGTGATTTAAGCATAACCCTAATTTTTGCCAAGGTTTATGATATACACTGGGTCCAATCTGCCACATTTTAGGTGCTCCTGCTACATACATCTGCTCATAAAAAGGTACAGATGGAGGAACACATTTGTGTCCTTTAAAACTGGAGAGGTTTTTTTTTTCTCTAGTCATCCATAGTCAACCTGAGATGTTAACTGGCAGCTGGGTTCTTCTACCTCCACTCATCCTCTGACAGCAACTGCTACTCAAGAAAATGTCCCAAAACTGGACCTGACATTAGACTAAGTACACAAATACGCATTTCCATCGCCAGAGTCACATAACACCTGGAGGACACTCGGGCACTTTTTTCCTTTCTAATGCATTTCAATAGATTAGGCAGGAAGAAAGAGAATGTGTGATTAATTTAGGGTGCCCAGTTTATTTTCTTAGAAGGAACCACCACTATGTTTAATGGGATTTACCACCAGGGAACAGCACAGCAGAGGAGTGCAGGATGACAGCATTAGATACCAGAGTTATTATGCTGACGACTTAAAGTATACTTTTTAAAAAGACATAAATACTTGAGATAAAATTAACATTCACTCTCTCACAATAAAAAAAGAATTAGGAAGAGTAACTTTAATTTGGTATATTTCCGGATCTGTTATGGACAGCTTCCAGTCATACAACCTGAACTCAAAGCATCTAAGCCATTATGGAGAATTTAGTTCTTTAAATAAACAGTATCATTTAATTTGAAGGGATATGGTGGCACTATGGGTTAAACCGCTGAAGCCTCTGTGCTGCAAGGTCAAATCCACACGATGGAGTGAGCCCCCCATTGCTTGTCCCAGCTCCCGCCAACCCAGCAGTTCGAAAGCATGCAAAAATGTGAGTAGATAAATAGGTACCACCTCGGTGGGAAGGTAAATGGCATTCCGTGTCTAGTCACACTGGCCACGTGACCACGGAGGATTGTCTGTGGACAAACGGTAGCTTTATGGGTTGGAAACGGAAATGAGAACCACTGCCTAGAGTCGGACACATCTGGACAAAATTGTCAAGGGGAACCTTTACCTTTATCATTTAATTCACATTTAGAATATAAAAGGGAAAGTCCTGAAGCTATTTTTAGATAGCATAGCAATTTGGTTCTATGCAAAATCAAGAAGAGAATGCTAAATGACTCCCTGGCCATATGTTCACTACACCACAATTTTAGTCCTTTCAGTTGTGCCTGGCCTTTTGATCCTAGAAACCAAACAATTAAAGGTAAAGCTCAAAAAGCTTCTACTACACACACTACAGTAGCTACCCACTTGGTCAACACAGTCTCTTCCCAAAAGGGTTAAAGTCCATCTCTTCCAGTACTGGATCTGGACTGCAGATTTAGCAGGTAGTTGCAAAAGGGAGTAAAACGTTTATGTCAGATCTTTACCTACACCCTCCCCTCAGAATCAAACTTAAAAAAAACACTTTTCTATTTTCAGAATTAGAAAACCATTCAACTAAGAAAAGAAGCAAGAAGCTGAAGTCATTATGTAAGCCAGTGTGGTTCTCTAGACGGGATATGAGAGAGAGAGAGAGTTGCAGTGGCTGGATCTGAAAACTCCAGAGGAAAACACTGGGAAAAGGCGCAAGCTTCGAAGCATCCTTCTCGCCCCTCTGCGCGCCCTCCTTCCCTCTTCCCCTCCAGAAATGACGAGGCGGTACGAAAGCTGCACTCACGCGGGGGCCCGTCGCTCTGTGGGCAGGAACCTGAGGAGGAAGAAGAACCACCACCACCAGCACCAGCAGCACCACCGAGACCACGCGAGGAGTCCCAGCTCTCCAGAGTCCTGCAGCCATGGTCACTTTGTGGAAGGACGAGGGAGAGGAGGGAGAGCCACCGAGCCGCAAAACAGCCACACCGCTTCCGTCGATGGTGGCTAAAAGACGGTGATGTGGGAGCTGCTTCAGCTTGCGTGGCTTTTTTAAAAAATAATAATAATAACAATAACAATAATCCAGCTGAACGGAGCAACCAGGCTGTGCCGGTCTTTTTTTCTCTCTCTCTCCGCTTCCCTCACAAGAGTGAGCGCGCTCTGCCCTCTCCAGCTGCAACAGGTTAAATGCCTCAGCCTTGGCCATTAGGAGCGAAGATTCCTATTATAAAGCCCATAGCCGGGAGAGGGCGGGGCCAGCAGAGATTGGGCTGCTTGACGGACAGGCGGAGGCACTCTTCCCGGGGCACAGTTGCAACAAAAAGGACAGGCATAGCAGGGAGAGAGTGCCCTTGGCGTGCAAAAGCTCACGGAAGACCTGAAGAAGAAATGGAGGGAAAGGCTTACTGGTCGAGCGGCAGGGCCTGGGAGAGGGAGCACAGGGTCAAAGTGACGGGAGGGTGTAGGCTGGGTAGACCGAATAGACTGGGTAGACCAAGAAGCTGGAATAGCTGAAAAAGAATTAGCCTGACCCATTTTTGGTCCTGGCACTGGCCAATCCTGATATCAGCCACTGCCCACCATCTCCACGAAGCCCTTGCTGCATTAGCAGGAGTGGCTCTAGACATGTTCCTGAGACAAAGCAGCAAATGGCATCTCCCAAATTGAAGGGGATAAAATCCAAAGGTAGTTGTTTTAGCACATGAGCCAAGTAAAGGGGAAAAAAATCTACCAGTGCATCTCTCCCTTACTGGCAGGAGAAATAAAATATTTAATCAATTCAGTAACTAAGATTATCTGCTCTATCACGGTACCCCAAATCGGCATCATTGTCCACCTGCCAAGTATAGAACCTGAGAAGGCACCTCCTATCGAAATTTCAAAAGTGGTTTCTATAATCAATGCAACATTGTGGTTAATAGTCCCATGAATAGTGACGGGAAAAAAACCTAGCATATAAGGATTCTGAATTTCACATCTTGATTTGAACTAGCAGATCAGAGCCTGATGATGATTGTGATGATGAAATTGCTTATCACTGCTTTTGGCAAATGTTTAGAAATAGTCTATGGCACCAAGAGTGAAGCAATAATTGAGATTTGTGCTGCTGAACTTCCTTTTCTTTCTTTTCTTCCTTGCTTAGTGAGACAATTGTTCCTGACAAACAAGCATTTTGGTGGGTAAATAAATGCTAAAGAAAGCACAATAGATGCACCTCACTACAGAGTTCATGAATTTAACATGGAACTTACCAAGAGAACCTAGTCTGCATGAAATATGTATATATTTTGTATATCCACAGATTTTTTTTAGGCAAGGAAGACACCATATTAAGACACTAGCTAGCATCCTAACAATTTCAGTATATATTAGTTTCTTCCCCTAGGCATCCTTCAGTCTCGAAAGACTATGGTAACATGCTCTGTATGGAGGACCTGGAACAGCATCTAGTGTGGCTGAGAAGGCCAATTCGAGAGTGACAATCCCTTCTGCACTGAAGACAAATACAATCTGTCCCCTGTCCAGCTCTCTGATTTTGCTGCTTTCGTAACTGCCTCTTTGCCTCAGCCTGCTGGACAAGGGTCTCTTCAAATCGGGAGAGGCCATGATGCACCGCCTACCTCCAGGCTGAACACTCAGATGTCAGGGTTTCCCATCTGTTGAGATCCATTCCTAATGCCTTCAGATCCCGCTTGCAGATGTCCTTGTATTGCAGCTGTGGTCTCCCTCTGGGACGATTTCCCTGCACTAATTCTCCATACAGGAGTTCTTTTGGAATCCAACCATCAGCCATTCTCACAACATGCCCAAGCCAACGAAGACATCGCTGTTTCAGTAATGTGTATATGCTAAAAATTCCAGCTCATTCTAGGACTATTCTATTTGGAACTTTGTCCTGCCAAGTGATACCAAAAATGCATCGGAGGCAACGCATATGGAACGTGTTCAGCTTCCTCTCCTGCCATGCACAAAGAGTCCAGGACTCACTGCAGTACAGTAATGTGCTCAGGACACAGGCTCTATAGACCTGGATCTTGGTATGTGTCGTCAGCTTCTTATTGAGCCATACTCTCTTTGTGAGTCTAGAGAACATGGTAGCTGCTTTCCTGATGCGTTTATCCAGCTCAACATCTAGAGAGAGGGTGTCAGAGATGGTTGAGCCAAGGTACACAAAGTCATGATCAACCTCCAGTTCTTGCATGGAGATGGTAATAGAGGGAGGTGAGTCCACGTCCTGGCCCATGACTTTTGTTTTCTTCAGGCTGATTGTTAGTCCAAAGTCTTGCCAGGCCTTGCTAAAACGATTCATGAGTTGTTGGAGGTCTTCAGCAAAATGGGCAACAATGGCTGCATCATCTGCGAAGGGGAAGTCCCATATGCATTTCAGTTGGACTTTGGTCTTCACTCTCAATCTAGAGAGATTAAACAGCTTTCCGTCTGATCTAGTCTGGAGATAGACACTTTCTGTTGCAGTTCCAAAGGCATGCTTCAGCATGACAGCAAAAAAGATCCCAAAAAGGGTTGGTGCGAGGACACAGGCCTGTTTCACTCCGCTTTGGATGTCAAAGGGATCTGATGTAGAGCCATCAAAAACTACAGTGCCTTTCATTTCCTCATGGAAGGACCTGATGATGTTAAGGAGTCAAGGTGGACATCCAATCTCTTCCCCTGCAGCTTATTTAAACCATGTTCTGACCTTCTGTAGCTTATTAAAAAGATTAGATACTTACCTGGTTTTCACTTTCAGTGTTGAAAATGGTATGCATACTGAGACAATTGTTCCTGACAAACAAGCATTTTGGTGGGTAAATAAATGCTAAAGAAAGCACAATAGATGCACCTCACTACAGAGTTCATGAATTTAACATGGAACTTACCAAGAGAACCTAGTCTGCATGAAATATGTATATATTTTGTATATCCACAGATTTTTTTTAGGCAAGGAAGACACCATATTAAGACACTAGCTAGCATCCTAACAATTTCAGTATATATTAGTTTCTTCCCCTAGGCATCCTTCAGTCTCGAAAGACTATGGTAACATGCTCTGTATGGAGGACCTGGAACAGCATCTAGTGTGGCTGAGAAGGCCAATTCGAGAGTGACAATCCCTTCTGCACTGAAGACAAATACAATCTGTCCCCTGTCCAGCTCTCTGATTTTGCTGCTTTCGTAACTGCCTCTTTGCCTCAGCCTGCTGGACAAGGGTCTCTTCAAATCGGGAGAGGCCATGATGCACCGCCTACCTCCAGGCTGAACACTCAGATGTCAGGGTTTCCCATCTGTTGAGATCCATTCCTAAGCCTTCAGATCCCGCTTGCAGATGTCCTTGTATTGCAGCTGTGGTCTCCCTCTGGGACGATTTCCCTGCACTAATTCTCCATACAGGAGTTCTTTTGGAATCCAACCATCAGCCATTCTCACAACATGCCCAAGCCAACGAAGACATCGCTGTTTCAGTAATGTGTATATGCTAAAAATTCCAGCTCATTCTAGGACTATTCTATTTGGAACTTTGTCCTGCCAAGTGATACCAAAAATGCATCGGAGGCAACGCATATGGAACGTGTTCAGCTTCCTCTCCTGCCATGCACAAAGAGTCCAGGACTCACTGCAGTACAGTAATGTGCTCAGGACACAGGCTCTATAGACCTGGATCTTGGTATGTGTCGTCAGCTTCTTATTGAGCCATACTCTCTTTGTGAGTCTAGAGAACATGGTAGCTGCTTTCCTGATGCGTTTATCCAGCTCAACATCTAGAGAGAGGGTGTCAGAGATGGTTGAGCCAAGGTACACAAAGTCATGATCAACCTCCAGTTCTTGCATGGAGATGGTAATAGAGGGAGGTGAGTCCACGTCCTGGCCCATGACTTGTGTTTTCTTCAGGCTGATTGTTAGTCCAAAGTCTTGCCAGGCCTTGCTAAAACGATTCATGAGTTGTTGGAGGTCTTCAGCAAAATGGGCAACAATGGCTGCATCATCTGCGAAGGGGAAGTCCCATATGCATTTCAGTTGGACTTTGGTCTTCACTCTCAATCTAGAGAGATTAAACAGCTTTCCGTCTGATCTAGTCTGGAGATAGACACTTTCTGTTGCAGTTCCAAAGGCATGCTTCAGCATGACAGCAAAAAAGATCCCAAAAAGGGTTGGTGCGAGGACACAGGCCTGTTTCACTCCGCTTTGGATGTCAAAGGGATCTGATGTAGAGCCATCAAAAACTACAGTGCCTTTCATTTCCTCATGGAAGGACCTGATGATGTTAAGGAGTCAACCCTGCAGCTTATTTAAACCATGTTCTGACCTTTTGTAGCTTATTAAAAAGATTAGATACCTACCTGGTTTTCACTTTCAGTGTTGAAAATGGTATGCATATTACTGTGTTTCCCTGAAAATAAGATAGGGTTTTATATTAACTTTTTGCTCCAGAAAAGCATTAGGGCTTATTTTCAGGGGATGTTTTATTTTTTTCATGTACAACAATCTACATTTATTCAAATACAGTCATGTCATCTTCTTCTGGTTGCTGCACAATAGTGAAGGGCAGGCTTTCACTTAACTGGGGCTTAATTTTGGGGTAGGGCTTATCTTACGAGCATCCCGAAAAATCATACTAGGGCTTATTTTCAAGTTAGGTCTTATTTTCAGGGAAACAGTGTAGTGTTACATGTGATGGTCAGTGTTATATTGAAAGCAAGGTTTATAAGGTTGAAGTGCTAGGGGTTTTTAAATAGGACAAATGACATCATCTGTCCCCTCTCCTCAAGCTTTTTCATTTCCTTGGAGCTTAAATCTCAGAGTGGCTTGAAACTGAAATTGTTTTTTTCCAGCAACTCTTAAGCTGCTGTTTTTATCGGCACTTCTAACATATGGTGAACCTGTAAATATAAGTGTCCTCCAAAAAGTCTCATCATTAACAGAACTATTCAGAACTTGCAAATTCAAGGCTGTGGTGCTTTTATTGATTCAATCAATCTCATGTTTGATCTTCTTCTTTCCCTGCTGCCTTCAGTGTTCCCTAGCATTATCATTTCCAGTGAGTTTTGTCTTCTCATGATGAGTCCAAAGTACCATAGCCTCAATTTAATAATTTATTTATTCTAGAAAAAGTATAGCTTTGGTTGGTCTAGCATCCACTTGCTTGTCCTTCTGGAGGCCCACAGAATCCATAAAGCTGTCCTATAAT